CGAGTCAGTAGATAGAATAGCCCTAGACTGCAATCCCCAGAAACACAGGAATACAAGAAGGAGGCTGACATAGAGGAGAATGGTAATTGATGAGGCAAGGCGAATGGAAACATCCAGAAGCAGATCAAACCGCTCGCGAAGAATAGACTAGAGTTACGTCAGTTTGTAGAGTTCTCATATAAGGTAAAATATCCGTTATTGGACATAATATCTTCCAATGGTGCTTCTCAACAATATCTTCATTGCATTATCTAGCTGCATTAGACTGGGCACCAACATATGGCAATATGTTTAATAACGTTTGCAATATACTTCCGTAAATTGCTGTTAGATTGCCAAACGGTCAGAATCTTATTTAATGTAGGGATGTAAGCTGCTGAGATGCGTACAATGTCCTAAGCTGATAACAAATTCTGACAAGCCTGTGTCGACGCATTGCAGAGAATATTGCCATGATTTATGATGACAAATATCGCGACAAAAATGTTATTCGTTTGAAGGCTGGACAAGAATATAACAATTTATCTAAATCCAGTTAGAAGAACTTACCAGATGGTTTGGTATTTGCTGTTAGATAAACATAGTCTCCATAGCCAGTCGTTGAATATGCCCTCAACACTAAATGGTATTCATAGTATGGGAAGGCTTCCGTGAAAATGTATCTGGTATCATTAGCAGATAGAACTACAGTCCTAGATTCATAGTCATAATAGCAATTCCGCCATTTAGGGTAAAGCGGACTTTTGGGAAGGATTGTTAGTTCGTAACCCTGTATCGCTCCTGTAGGTTCGGTTGGTGCTTTCCATGTTACAGTTACGGACCTATCGGTCGTATCGGTTCTATTGAATATAGGTTTTCCTGGTACTATAGAAAAAGAGAAAACGTGATTAATATGCTCGTTATTTTCCAGCTGTATTTCATACATTCATTCAATCTGTTGAATTTTCATTAAATGTTTTACGTTCTGTTGACAGTGTTGCTAGTTAATAATACAGGATGATCCAAAAGTCCAGGAAAGACAAGATATCTGAGAAATATTCAAGAGGTATGGTAAAAGATGGGTCCTGGATTTACCTTGAATTTGACCTTAAACGTGAGTGTGAATGTCAAATCAAGATCAATACGATTTTTTTTAGGATCTTATAATTTTTACTTCTGAAATTAATAGAAAGGAACGCACAATGTACTATGCAAAAAATTGTCTTGACCTTGCTTTGGCCGTTGAGCACATGGTTTGGGTCAGTTTCAAGGTTACCATTGAACAGCCACATAAATTGAAGTATCTGCTATATTCGAGTCCTTATTTTTGCTATCTTTACAAACATTTTTCGTACGATGGTTTTTCACGTGACCTTGATAAGGCCGTTCAAGGTTAAAAGACTTTCTACCCAGGGTCATAGCTAAGTGTGAAATCTCAAAACTACAGGGTTCTACAAAACAAAAGTGTTGCATAGGTTTGACCAGCGAAAAGTTGTAGCTCCTTGTAGCTAAGGGCCCTGATTTCCAAAAAGATTCTTGAAATCTTTTCAACCGAGGATTTCTTACAATGACCTTGAGCATGAACTTCAAGATTAACTTTTTTCATGTCTGAACGCAGAATGTTCCGCTCTTAGGTGTCTGGGGTTGAAAGTATACTGTCAGATTTCAAAGGTCTCCTTAATCTGACTTTAAAGATGATGCTATAATAGTTTCGGAAAACACATATGAATACTTACCATCATCTGGCGTGGTAAAGGAAATTTGTGAGATTGATCCCTGTATACCTTCTGTACCGTCTTTAACAACTAGTGACAGATTGGTTGTGTAATGGAATGCCAGCCGCAGATCTAGTGAGATATTGTACATGCTCATATTTTTGTTAACAACCAGTATTTTTGACCGGTCTTCCTCTAGGGAATCATTTAGGCTATAATGTCCGTGAATACTGAGTTTGAAACGCCAAGGAACGCCATTTAGACTGCACGGTAGCCTCCAGGATAAAGTAGTTGTACCATTGTCTTCCATGAGAGCATTCAAATTTTCAACTGCTTCAGGAGCTGACAAATTTCAGAAGTCATTAGTGCAAGCCAGTCAATAATTCAAGTTGTAGTTATATATAGTATACTTGCAGGTAAACGGTAGGCGTGATAAATGCTGTAAATAGCTCCGCATTACTAAGCTTTCAACGTTTTTTTTCCGATAGATATAGGTGTAGTAAGTGGGAACAATCCACAGCGCATAGATACGAGGGCGGTTCAATAAGTACCCTTGTTAGAAATGAAGACACCATTTTTTTCAAAAAATGTCTTTTTATTTTCCAACATAATTCCTTTTTAGAAAGATACTCAACTCAAAGTTCCTGCCATTTTTTAACCCCCCAAAAAATAGGATTTGTCGAACTCTCCAAAATACGCTCCTGGCTCGGCGATGACTTCCTCGGTTGAACTAAATTTTTTCCCCGGGAGGCATTTTTTCATGTCAGGGAACAAGAAATAGTCGCAGGGGGTCAGATCTGGTGAATATGGGCAGCACTTTATAACGCAATTCATGCAGCTTGGCGGCGACAACTCCGGATGAATGTGCTGGTGCATTATCGTGGTGAAACCAGCACCTTCTTTTTCGTGAAATGTGGCTGTGTCTCCTTCAATTTTTTGTCGAAGCGATCCAATAACTCACTATAGTATTGTCCAGTGATCGTTTTATCTTTTTCAATAAAATCCACGAGGACGACGCCGTTCGCATCCCAAAAAATCATCGCTATGGCTTTTCCGTCTTCGCCTTCTTTGGAACCGATTCACCGGGAGGAATCCATTGTTTTGATTATTGTTTAGTTTCTGATGTGTAATAATGAATCCAGGTTTCATCGACGGTGGCAACGCGACGGAAAAGCTCCTTCGGATTTCGCTTAAATTGCTACAAACACTGCTTCGAAGTTAACAGCCGCATCCGATTGATGTCCAGCGCGAGTAATTGCGACACCCATCGAGCCGACAATCTTTTCATAGTCAATTTATCATGTAAAATATTGATTGCCGTTCCGGTTGACACACCTATGGCCTCTGGTACTTCGCGCACTTTCGTTCGTCGATCAGCGAGAATCATGTCGTGGACTTTTTGAATGTTTTCCTCGGTAACCACGTCTGCCGGGCGTCCTGGTCGATCCTCATTAAAAACGGATATTCGCCCATGTTTAAATTCGTTAAACCAATGTGGTCATTGTGGTTATAGATGGCGAAGTGCCCCCATAAACAGCATCCAACTTTGCATTTATCTCCTCGCATTTTTTCCCATCCAAAAGCAAATAGCGAATTACCGAACGATACTGCTCTTTTTCCATCTTAGCGAAAATCGCGAAACACGTGTTACTCGAATGGCTGCCAAATCCAAACTAACCTATCAATCAGTCTTAAATTTGTTGTGCCGTCGTCTGATAGATGGCAGCACACGATGATAACATTAACTGCACTCTGTCGTCAAACACTGGTACTTATTGAAGCGCCCTCGTAGAAAATAAGCAACTTTCCCTAGTAACACATATACAGCAGTCTTAAAAAAACCGAGCTACTAAATGCCAAAAAAATCTGTGAGGTGAAAAGATACGATGTGTGTGACCATCCAACCCTGTGCGCCACGGATCCGGAAAACAAAAAATGACCCGCACTCCATGACCGTCTGGACGCTAAATAAAACCTCATAAGCGTGTTCTTGCCTTTTGCTGTTGAAGTGTAACTCGCTTTTATTTGAAATCGTGAGACGGAAGAAATTCGTTATCATTTAAAGCTTAACAAGAATAAAATGGCATTTCCTATAATCTATCTTGAAATTTTTAGTTTGTTTTACTAACAGCTAAATAAAAGCTTGTTTTTAAAAATGTGTTACTTTCGTTTATTTCGTTTTCAAAGCTGCTATTTCAAACGTCGTTTTTCGAAAGCAAGGATCAATATTTCTAACTTAAAATAGTTTGAAGCTCACCCATTGGAGACGTAGTTTCAGTGACGTATCCTCCTGCTGGCGTTCCACATCTAGTGGTGGTAGTAACAGAAATGTTGTACTTATAGCTGGGGAAGGTATGGCTAAACGTGAAGCTATTTTCGGAAACATTATACTGTCTTTCATCCTTAGCCGGAATACAATACGGAGGTACATCATATGCGGGACCAATTCCTTGAAGGTAGACGAGGTAAGTTGCTTGTTCATCTCGAAGCGGTAGCCACCGCAATGATATGTTAGTAGCGTCAATGCTAACTACTTCCGGCTCTAGATCAACTGCAAATACACATAAAGTATCTTCATAATTGAGCATGATGTTGGTCCTGATGATTCGATTCAACGAATGTTTGTCGTTGTACTGCAACTAACATGTCGTCAGTAATAAAATAGTTCCTTAATTGAAACCGCAGAAGTTAGAATCGCAAATGTGATACCAAAAACTTGATGTTAACAATGTTCAAAACAGTTGATCGAAAGAGTTTATATATATTTCGTAGCAACGTCCTATGTAAAGAACGAGTGAAAGATCAGTCTAAGTACTAAATCTTGAGTCGTATCAGCTGTTTCCAAACGGTTACGCTTGCATATGCACTGTTACGAAAGAAGTTGATTTCTCAAAAAGAAATGTAATAAAATTTCTACAGAAATCGAGACAATAAAATAATTCAGTCAGCAGTTCAGTTATAAACGCTGTTCAAAATTATTTCCAATGACTGCAATGCAAGCTTGGGCGCGTCTAATCCAATTTCGGCGCACTAATTTAAATACACCTTCGGTCACGCAATTCCTCAATATTCTGAACTGGAGTACGATATACCTCTCTTTTTCAAGTATCCCCATAAAAAAAGTCCAGAGGATTTAGTTCGGGAGACCGTGGCGGCCATGCAATAGGCTATTTGACAGTATTGAAAATAAGTTGCGAATTGTGGTGATCCTATTAGATAATAGAATAAGAAAACACATAGTACTTTAATGTACACCTAAATATGTATATTTTTTGGGAAATAATCAAATAAAAATCAGCTATTTTTAAAAATTCGATGAATCACAGAAACGCCCTGCGATTGGTTGCGGCTCTGGTGACGTCACATGCAAGTAAACAAACATCGCGTTGTACGTTTTTGCTGGCTTTCTGTGGGATATTCTATCATAATTCTATTTCGTAAACAGATTTTTATTACTTTCTTGATCAATCTTTCAACTATTGGCATCATTATTCGTTGTGGACTTCAAAATGGACCTAAATTTTGTGCAAGCTGATAACAGCAATCTACCTAAGGTTGACGCATTAATGGTAGCATTTTTCTTCAAAAATAATGCGGACTACTATGCTGCGGAACTCAAACATGTGAAAACAACAATGTAAGTAGTAATAGAAATTATTTATTTATACCTACTAACCTTTATGTATGATCATTAAAGATTTGTAAAATCAATCTTATTTTAGGTTATGTTGATGTAATGAAAAAAGCTTTCAGTTCAATATGATAATATGGTTCATATATGGTTTCATGAATAAAACATACTTTCATGTTTTGCTTTTGTTTTACAGGTCTGGAAGGGAGTCCTACGGAGACGATGCAATTGGCTATGTGCAGCTGCACCGGGAGCATGGACTTTGCACACTTAAGTGCAAAATGTGCCCAGAGCACAAAGTGCGATCAAAAGCTTATAATGTGACAATGGTTATCAACGAAAATGAAAGCGAGGTAATAAGTTGTCAGTGCCATGGCTGTGCTGCTTCAGCAGGAGGCTGCAAGCATGCAGTCGCTTTTTTGATGTGGGTACATCGGCGCAGTGAGGAACCTCCAACTACTTCGGTGGAATGTCATTGGAAAAAGCCAACATTGTCAAGAGTAGGGACTACTCTGAAGTACATCACGGTGCAGCAGATGTCGAAAAAGGAAGTACCGCACAGACCAAGTACATCAGCACTTTACACAGACTTTGTTTTGGAAGCCAAAGAAAGAAAACTTCAACACTGTGAATTGATAAAATATCAGGACGATTTTAAACACTCAAATGTTATGCGGTATTCGCTGCACTGTTTCATAATGGACCAACCACCAAAAATTCAAGCAGACGTAGACAATCTTGTAGACATAATGAAGACAACATTCAACAGAGCTGCTATCAGTGCAATTGAAGAAGCAACAAGAATGCAGTACAAGACCAGCTTGTGGTATGAGATGAGATATGGCCGTATCACAGCTTCAAAGGCACATGAAGTGAGCGTATGTCATACACCTGATGGTTCATTGGTTGCTACTATAATGGGCGCAAAAATACCAGATACTATTGCAATGAAAAGATGTAGAAGTTTGGAGCTATCTGTCCGGAAGACAATTAGTACAACATTGAACAAAAAAATCAGAACATGTGGACTTTATGTATGCCAAGACAATCCCATGCTTGCAGCATCTCCTGATGGTTTATTGAAAGATGCCATTGTTGAAATAAAATGCCCTACCAAAGCAAAAGCTAAGAACAATTATTTAAAAAATTGAATTATTTCAGAAATGTAAGGCACAGGTTCAATTACAGATGCATGGAACTGGTATGAAAAAATGTGATTTTTGTGTTGCTGATAGCAGCTTTGAAGAAACAAAAAATGTAGATATTATTCTAGTGAAGTACGAAGATGATTATGTCAACAACTTAATAAAAAACTTGTATATTTTTTGGAAAAAAAATATATATATTTTGTATCGTAGCACTAGTCTGTGATTATCAAATGAAAAACTATGCAGTGCATATTTCTTGTTTTATTATTATTTTATTCATGGTTTTACATCATTTATTTCTTTATTTATAGTAGTAGTAGTAGAAGTATTTATTCAGCCCAGTACAAAACACAAAGTTCAAATGGTATGTCACAAAAGAGGAGATAACATGATAATAATAAGTATAAAGTATCATAACAGGGAAAAACCCATTATTTAATAAGAGAATCTTGCAAATTTTTTAGAGCACATGCAATTATAATGACATGATCAAGTACACGACGTATGTTAGTATTTATCACTGAATGTTGCTTTAAAATATGAAATTCTCTCAAACGCATTATTACCCTTTCAATATGAATCCGCAAACTAGCTATTATTTTAGTTTGTCGAACTTCAGTTTTTGACAACCTTGCACCAGCATTTACACTGGGTGGCCTTAATTGTTTTAGTCCCTTTTCATGAAGTATTTGTTCAAGGTGTTTGAAGCCTCTGTCAGCTAAGCAACAGGATCCTTGGGGTAATCCATCTAGAAAGTTACAATTTTCTACTATTGTGGCATCGCTGGTTCTGCCCCCAAACCCATGCGAAACATAATTAACTAAACCATTAGGTGTGCAGGATACTAAATACTTCACAGTATTCCCCTTTTTATACTCTGACCACGTCAATGACTGATGAAGAGCCTTTGATGGTTTTTGTATATCAATCTCTAAACAACCTATGATGCAACTGACATTATGATAGTTATGTCTAAATGAAATAGGAAGATGTTTTTTTCCAATTTTTATCTATTTTTACAATAAATGGGTCTTAAAACACTGGCTATTATTGGTATATTTTGTAGAAACAATTTACTAGCATAAGATAATGATATTCCAAAATTATCATCCAGTTCAGAAAATGTACTGTTCATTCTAATCTTTTTCAAGCATAGCAAAATGTGTTCTACTTTTATGCTTGTGTGTTTTTGTAACAATTTGATTAAGAAATAACATTCTTTTGGAATACCAACATACATCATTGGTTTTTTAGAGATTGAACGCATAGTAATTTTGAGGCACTCTAATTTTTCAATATTCTCATTGGCATCTGTAACATTACTATCAGAGTCAGTAAGCCCTGATGATGATGATGCTGCTCTAGTTACAAAAGGTGATAAATGACGACCACTTTCAATACAGGAAATATCACTATCTTCAAGAAAAACATTTCTCTTCACTGCTTTGACAATTTCAGACTGTGATGGTCGAAGACTGCATGGTTTAATCTTAAAGGGCGAAGTGGAACGAGATGTTGTAGAAACTTTCATTGGTGAGGTAGAAATACTTGTAGTCCGGCATCTTGTTTGCACAGATTTGCTCCTATGATGCACATTCTCTTTTATTGTTACTTGCACAGATTTTTCTGCAGTTATGATAGAGTTGGTAATAGTTTCTTTGTCTTGAGTTCTTTATAAACCTGAAAGAACAAAGACTCAAAATTAATATCTTAATTTCAATGTAAATGATTACGTTAAGGCACTATGAAAAGTTGTCTACTACTTCTTCCATTATCACTGAAGAAAAAGTGCAGTGCTGGATAAGGGGTAGTGAATCACAACATCAACAGCTTGAGAGAAAATTACCCATTACCTGAAGTACAAGTTGAGCATTCTTGATCACCTAGCAAGTAAAATGTCCCACTAAACTGACCTATCACTTTGAATATATCAATTTTAAACCATAAATATTATTCTGTGAAAATCTCAATGTGCTACAAATATGTCTTTATGATTTTTTTTGAAAAATACCCTCAATACCCCTAGGGATAACAGTTACTCACCTTATTCAGTTCTGCCCTTTTTATTCAAAAATAATGGAAGAAGTAGTAGACAAGTTTTTATAAGGCCTCAAATAGGTTACAAAAATGTCTATCAGCTCTGAGACTATAATTTATGATAGGATACATGTAATAGATTACATACCTTGAGGTTCAATAATGTCTTGTATCAAACTCTCAGCTTTTTGTAAGCTTTCAGCTTGGGCTTCAGTAGCATTTTGACTTTGCAAACATGTGTTGACCAAATCCATTCTTTTCCTCTTGACATATGCTCCTCGAGAAAGTCCAGCATCAGACAGTGGTCTTTTACGATCTTCTTGACAATGAAATTTTGTTGGCACAGCATCTTCTGTCAAAAGTATCTTCTTGCTGAAACCCATTTTGTGCTGCATGTAGTTAATGGTATCTTTTTCCATCTGCAATTCAACATAACTATCACTATCTAATAAGCAAAGTAGGTAAAATGACACAGCATAGAAAATTATTGAGATATGTAGGTAGCTAATATAATCAAAACAACAGAAAACATTTTGAAACCCTACAGAGTAATAAGTTTAGGGTTAATAAACAGGATCTTTGATCCTCAACACTGACTTATCCTCAACATAACCAAAGATACATTTGAGGTTATAGAGGGTTATATATTATTTCAATCTTAAAAAAGCGGTAATTTAAGCTACCTAGTAGATAACATATTCAATTTATACTTACATCGAAGTGATCTTCACACATAAATACATTTGAAGTCGATGAAATGCCCTTTGGGTCTCTCCGAGCTAATAGTAACCACTTTTTTCGTCTTTTACAATCGGTTGGAACAGAAACAAACAATGTTTGTGGACTATTTATACACGTATTCGTAAATTTTGGCACTACACACCATTTATAGACCATTTTATCTATGATTTTATAGCAAAATCAAGCACAATAATGAAATTAGCTTCGGCTGACGGCGCCATCACAGGAATAGCGTTTTTGGCGCGGTTCTAAAAATTCAAACTTTAAATTTGATTTCTATTAAAAATAGTATAGATTTTCAGGAAATATTCATGCAGTGTGCTCATTATATATAAAAGAATAATTTAAAATGATTTTGCAAAATTAGTCAAATAGCCTATTGGTCCACCCCTTCCGATCTAGCGTAGCACGAACTTCTAAACTAAAATGCGGAGGTGCCCCATTGTGCAGAAACCATATCCGTGCTCGGACCGCCAATGGCACATCTTCAAGAAGGACCGGCAAATCATTCCGAAGAAATTCCAAATACTGGTGACCTTCCATCCGATCTGGCAATATGAACGGTCCAATTAGAAGTTCATCGACAATATTTGCCCACACATTTAAAGAAAAACGATGTTGGAGGTGTGTCTGGACCACTACGTGTGGATTCTCAAAGGACCAAACGTGTGTATGATGAAGATCGGTTATCCCATTACGAGTGGCCAAAATATCAGCTGTAAAACGGGCATATCGAGCATTTCCTTGCAACATTATTATTGAAACTCAGGTTTATAACGTAACTGCTGTAGGACTTTTATTACTTTTTTTCTTTCGTAACAGTGCATATGTGGTTAAAACTTGTCAGGTGAGTTGTGAAACACCCTGTATATAACTTTTTCTGCGACTTACTTGGGCAAAATGGTAGATCAGTAGTACTAATGGTATCTGTGGTACCATTTGTAAAGCCTTCTGTGGTGGTAAGCTCCGTCGTGTAACCACTTTGGGTAGTCCCCATAGTTTCTGTGGTGGCTCCCATAACTTCCGTACTACTTTGTATGGTAGAATCCATATCTGTTGTAGTACCATCTTTAAAATATAACTGTGTGACATAATTTGTATCTTCAGAGGGTAATATGGTTGTTGATAATTGGATTGGGATTTCAGTGTCACTAATCTGAGAGAGAGAAAATTATATATTAATATACCAAAACGACTCGTAATATTATCCATGCAGAAGCATTGAAATTTTTTGTTTGAAACCGAAAAAAGTACAGATGACTATGTATCGAAGTAGTAAAGTGGACGTGTATGGCACGCGGCTGTAAAGCAAAAAGGGATGCACAACAAGTAATAACAAATTCTTTTCATTGTCTATTTCAAAAATAAGTCTTGTATACGAAAAAATAAGCATCATTAAAGGTGTGAGACTAGCTACGATAAGCAGCTATCCCAGAGCATCTAGAGAAACCTGAACTTACCTCATTCTGTCTAAGTGAAACTGTACTTGGAGGAGCTGCAAAAGTGTATTCTTCTGTGGGATCCTCAGTTTTGACACTGCTTGATTCCGAAGTTTCACTGTGTCCTGCATCATATGCATGTGATTCCGTTACACTGGCATTATATGAAGCTATAGATACCTGTACCACAAAACAAAGAAAACACAATATCGCTGAGAAGGAACAGCCCAGCTTCATATTTCAAGCACTCTGCTGTTAGAAATGCTTTCGCGTTGACGAATGCCGGAAACTGTTATCAACTATTTAGTCTTCTTGATTTCAAACAATCGTTGTAGACAACCACATGCTGCGCTGTTTTCAAACCGCATAGTATGTAAAATTTAGACTATGTCGTACGGCAGAGCATGAGATAACGTAAATACAGATATAAAATACGTTATCGCGATTATCTACGTTATAGATATCATTCATTGTTTTACTAAAAGTACTTTGGCTGCGCTGATAGGGATTCCTTGTTACAGTAAACAAATCAAGTTTACGTTTATAAGCTGTTATTGACTACGTCATCTTGAGTGCAGTTTCAGGTACAAAACCGGACATACTATATTCTGCTTCAGTGTTAGAACGTTGCAAGTATGTCATTTATTTATTGAATGCAAGATATTTTTTTTATTAGCTTGTGAGAGATTAGTATGAAATGCTACATTGGTAATAGATATTTTTATTTCAATGGAACAATCTACAGAGTCCAAGATAAGGATGTCAATACGTTTGGGAAATACAGGT